TCAACATAGATTAGATAGATAGATAGATAGATAGATAGATAGATAGATAGATAGATAGATAGATATGAACACACTGAGAGATAGATATGAGCAGACTGAGATAGATAGATAAATAGATATATATGAACAGATAGATAGATAGATAGATAGATAGATAGATAGATAGATAGATAGATAGATAGATTTGATATGATCAGACTGAGATAGATAAATAGATAGATAGATAATGTATAGACCGAGAGATATATAGATAGATAGATAGATAGACAGACAGACATGACAGAGAGATAGATATGAACAGAGATAGATAGATATATAGATAGATAGATAGATAGATATGTATAGACTAAAATAGATAGATAGACAGACATGAACAGTCTGAGATAGATAGATAGATAGATAGATATGAACTGACTGAGAGATAGATATGAACATAGATAGATAGATAGATAGATAGATAGATAGATAGATAGATAGATAGATAGATCTTTCAGCTAAATTGTGTATTTCATCGTAACAACGATTCTGCGTTTGATACGATTAATTCTTCATGGAATTTCTGGATTTCTTGAATTTCCGGTACTGTTGATTCGACAATCTAAGTTGCCTGAAGCCAAACTAATGAAAGTCTGAAAAGTGTCAGTTCCGCCGAAGTTGCCTTATGCGCGCGAGAACCTTCAGTTTTCGCCCATCAATCGTTTGCTGCGCCATTTTGCCACATGAAGCCGGCCGGACTCTTACAGCAGATTCATCGATCTTGACGCGAGGCAGGATTTTCTCTTCCAGTGCCTCAATGAAAAACGAGCTGCGTGATTCACGACTAATTTATAGGTTCAGTGTGATACATATATCTTTAATCCATCAATTTTAAAGTTCATAGAGTTTTCCCCGATCCCTGCTTCAATATAACAAGCTCTGGAATTCGTAAATATGCTGCCAATGGTGCTTGCTTTATTCGTATTTATGTTCTTTTGGTATTTTTGGTTTTTTTTAACTCGAGGTTAAATAAAAGCATACACTGCATAGCAGGTTGAATTGCGTACTTGTTAATCAGAAGCCACTCGCTTGAACAGGTTGATATAATCATTTAAGCACAGTGGGCACGCAAAATATAATTTGCATTTTTGGAATATATCCCAGTATGATGTGTGTCATATTTAGTCTGAAAAAAAAGGCAGCCGCGTTGAAACTGTAGTAATGTTTTCCTCGGTCGAAGAAGATTGGAACTCGTACATGTTTAAAACTTACAATATATATATATATATATATATATATATATCCAGGAAAATATACTTCTGTGGTTTTGTGGTTCTTTGTATGAGTCAAAAAATATTTTGAAATGTCTTCACTGTAGAAAACTTTCAATCTTGTAAAGTCTTCGCTGTAGCACTGTTTCAAATTGCAACGTTATCACCGTGGCGATGTTCTATTTTGGAACGTCTTTGCCGTGGCAATGTTTCATTTTGGACCATCATTGCCGTGACAATGTTTCATTTTGGACCATCATTGCCGTGGCAATGTTTCATTCTGGAACGGCATTGCCGTGGCACGGTTTCATCTTGGAACGTCTTTGCCGTGGCAATGTTTCATTCTGGAACGTCTTTGCCGTGGCAATGTTTCATTTTGGAACGTCATTGCCGTGGCAATGTTTCATTTTGGAACGTCATTGCCGTGTCAATGTTTCATTTTGGAACGTCATCACCGTAGGATTGTTTCATTTTGGAACGTCATTGCTATGGCAATGTTTCATTTTGGAACGTCTTCGCCGTGGCATTGTTTCATTTTTGGAACATCTTCATTGTTAAAATGTTTCATATTGGAACGCATTGTCTTTGGAATCATTTCATTTACGAACATATTGTGAGTGGAAATGTTTAAATTTGGAATATCTTAGCAGTGGAACTATTTCGTTTTGGAACGTCTTATCTGTTGGAATGTTTCATTTTGGAACGTCTTAGGCGTGGAACTGTTTTCTTTTGAAACCTCTTGCCTGTGGAGTTATTTTATTTTGCAATGATTTGGGCGTGGAAGTTCTTAATTTTGGAAAGTCTTGACAATGAAACAGTTTCATTCTGGAATGTCTTTTCTCTGGAAATAATTCACTTTGCAAATCCTTGTCTGTAGAAATTTGCATTTTTAACGTCTTGGCTCTCGAATTGTTTATTTATCAGCGTCTTGGTTTTAGAACGGTTTCATGTCTGCGCCGATATTGAACTCAGATATGGGTTGAGTACCAGGGCCGATTGAGCCTTAAGCCTTTGTTACCAATCACTTTAGAAGGGACATACCTTACTTTTTTTTTAGAAGACAAGATGTATTGTTGCCAACAAGAGGATCAACCCGAAATACAAACTACTATTTGGATATGAGACAAAAGGACGTAAGTACGAACGTTTAAATATCTGGGAAGTGTTTTAACAGGGCAGGAAAAATGTAAGGTACATTGGATACCTTTCAAAAGCCAAACAAATTATTAAAAAGCAGGAAAATTCGGTTAGAA